AAATGAGCAGTAGTTCTTTCGTAACTTCATGCCAACTTGCATTTCATTTGAAGGTTTCACTGGAGCAGAATGCAATCAACGCGATTACTGCCTCAGTCACAATTGCTCCGCCTTCGCAGAGTGCAAAAATGCGCCGACGGGATTCGAATGCTGGTGCGAAGGAAGCGCCGGTTAGTGATCTCCTCGCAACTGTCATTTCCATGCAATTTCACCCCTCCCCACACTGAGAAAGAACAGAGGCGCACTTTGCAGTTGCGAGAAGCTCTCAATTGTTTTTAATAACAACTGAAGCAAATTCTGGCAATTGTGGAAAATAACGCAGGGCATTTAAGAGAGCATTAGGTCTGCGAATTCAGCATTTTGTAGTTTGCTGCTTAATCATAGATTTATCCAAATTTCGGGTCACATTATTTAACCCATTCGCTTATTGACTAACAGTTCCTCTCCAGGGTGTTCCAAACTACTTGACTGGTAAGTTGGTAGTAAAGAACTTTTTGTGGAAATACCCTTGTTATTATCACAGAGGTGTCAGTAAAATGTTTTAATGGCAGAGTATACTGATGATTAGTCTTACCGACACCATCTGAATCGCTTTTTCTTTTTTATCAAATCGGTTTTTAACGTGAGTTCTGATAAGATTTGTGGCTTATAATGAAAGTACCACATGCGACTTGGAGTGGTGATTCAATGATTCAATCCACCAAGTTAAAGGAAAATTGTTTGAAGAGTCCTGTAGGCATCTTAAGACCCTCGACCGTCGTAAGTGGTGACAGATTTTGAAAGGGTCATAGAGCAATGTGAAGGATGAAAGGGTATTGTGTTGGGAGGACCCGAGGAGATTTAATTACCTCAGTAGGTTGATGTTGGACACTTGACAACCGTGTGAAAAGAAGTAGCTCAAATAAGACGGACCTCGTGATTAGTTGACGAAGTTGAATTATTGATACTGTCGGTTGTTTTGATTGGCTTCAAAGTAACTTAGTATACATAAATAGCTTTAAAATGCATCTGACTATACAAAGATTAATTAAATTTGGGCGGTTTAAATGTTCATTTTCGAAATTGGTTGGCAACCATAAATTGTTGCGGCTAAAATTATTCCAAGTTATTCGAGTACGGTCCAGGTAAATGAATTTGATACAGGAGTAACTCTTACCGTTATTTAAAGTGGCATTGGTTGTGGACCCAATGTATTATTTGACTTCTATTTTCAAAAAGGTTTTTCTCCACCCTCGAAGTTGGAATAAAAATAATGGACCATTCCTCAATTGTCCTGGAAGCTCTTACTTATCTTTATTACATTGTTGAATTTGTATAAGTATCTACCGGTACTATTGAATCGAATAAAACTTGATAGATTAGTTATGTTTTCAAAGTTTTTTTTTAGACCAAGGAGACGAGACAAGGTATTTACAAATTCGAACTTATTTTGGTGTCATTTTATTTGCTTATAGTAAACTGAGATTGATAATTATATTTACCTAGAGCGTGAGCGTGACTTGGTAGAACCCAAATGGATTAATAAATCTTTTATTTGGCGTGAATTTGTAGGACCTCAATGCCAAAGGGGTTACAATGCCTGCGCCGAGGAGCACATGTCATGCTCAGGTCACGGAGTCTGCAGTCTGGCAGGGAAGCACAACATCTCCTTCGAGTGCTCCTGCGAAGTAGGATGGGAAGGAAGGCGCTGCGAAGTGCGTAGACCTCTCTGCGTGGTGGCCAACGAGAGTAATCAGACCATCTGCTTGAATGGTGGTCTCTGCAAGGACCTCGACGCTGAGAAAGGCTCCTACATATGCAATTGTGCATCCGGATGGTGGGGTCAACATTGTGAAAAGAAAGCCGCTATCATCTATGTGAGTCGCCTCTCTTTAAGCTATACGCTTTTGCGAAACTCTCTAATGAACCGCTTACATGCTCTTAGAGAGCGTTTGCAATTGCTTTCTCTTTAAGCAATCTTTGATTTAGATTGATATGCACAACCATACCTACCCATATGGCGATCCGCGTAATTGTTTTCCTCTGAATGTACCCTATCAAGAAATATTGGAGTTTGATTGTCTCACAGAGACAAAACATCGTTTTTTCGCCTTCTTCCAGTTTAAGCCATAAAGTTCCCAGGTAGCATTCCGTTTTTTCGAGCTTCCGACTTTGAGGAGGGGGCGCGTGGGAGAGGCTGCAAATGGAGCAGCAAATTGAAGGTAATGGGCTATCGGCACCTTTGCCTGCCACACCCACACCAAGGCCATTATTATAAGTGAGGTACGGAAAATCTGTGTGAATGATTATTGAATCGAGATCATGTGTTTAAGACTATCCGGTACGCATTTATCCAATGGGGTTTGCAAGTAATTGATAGGCTGGTGGTAAAAATCCAATACCATAATTTGTCCATATGAGTGAGCTTAATAACAACAATTTTGCTTTCATTGATTATTTGCCAACGATTTACATATTTGGAAAAATAAAATAATTATTGATTTGAAAAATATCCATGTTTATCACAGTTGGTTTAGTTTGAGTCATCGAGCATTTGGGATTTCGTTGACCAATCAATCGCATACTTGAGTCTAAAAGTTATCGATTCAATTAACTAGTTTGCATATTTATCGCGTTGATTTATTGATCTTTTTGAAATCAATGGCTCTGCTCACTAAGAAAATCTCCTTTATTTTAGAAAATTGTATTTGCGGTCATCGTTTATGTTGCAATTGGTTTAATCACCCTTACAACCATAATATCTTTCATCTTTTTCTTCTGTAAAAGGTTTGTCAGTTTGAAAATTACAAAATTATTATATTCCAACCTCTGCTACTTAAATGATAGTAAGTAAAAGGATTATCTAACCTAGAAAACGGAAGCCCGTCAAACCGACTCTCACCTTCATGGCAGGTAGTCAATTATCGAAGGCACAACCCGAGTTGATGAGTCTTTCTTTTCCGAGCATGAAAAATGGAGAAGCCTGCCCCAATATCCCCCAGCTTACTCTCAATTACAGCCTGCCGCCCGACTTGCCTCTTGAACGTCCCCAAATCAGTATCCCAGACCAATACGCCTTTGCAGCATTCGTGTAATTGCCACAACGAAAATAAGGAGTTCGCTTGCAAGATATGAACAGAGTGAATTTGTACAAATTAAATGAATACATCTCCGTGACTCAACCTATCATACAACACCCACTGGGCAAGGCAATACTTTCTTGTGAGGTCTAAACATGTGTTAAGCATTTAATATTCAAGGCTATGGTCGTCAAGACGAGTGTGATCTTAATCACTACTGCCAAAAAACTCAAGGCAACTATGAACGGATCATATTGAGGTCAAATGGAGTTAGCTCATGTGATTATGCTCATCTTAGATTAGCACGAATTATCATCCAGTCCATTGGAAGATGCATAATGAAATGCTTGCCAAGAAGTCACGTGTTCGCCTGTCCTCTTCAAACCCTAATGTCATCATTGTGGTTATCTTAATTTGACTTCCACTTGGTCTAATAGGAGCAGACTTGATGGTAACTTTCAAGCAATTAATTGCCAAAATGATTGAGTAAAGCCAGGTTGAACATATCGTCAGCTATTTTTAAGTAAGTAACTTTTCACATACTTTAGCTTTACTGGACTTAAGAAAGTTCTCTCCTAAGAAAAGTATTGAGTAAAATTTGTTAGTTGACAAGGTTTTATAAATAGACACAACTCCTGGCGGTAGCACACTTTTAATAATTAAAAGAAAACGGCAGTTGCTGATGTATTTTGAAAGAAATTGGCGCTCTAAGTACCTTGATTAAAGGATCAGGCCAACCTGTTTGCCAGTTACTACTTCATTCGGCTGAATATGCTGTGGGTCAATTTTAAATAATTAATGTAAAAAATTTCAGTCATTGGAATTATTTTAACCAAGAGACAATTAAGAAATGTGGGTCACTTCATAAGGCAATTGTATTTTGATGGTTCAGCGACTCTGTATGGATTGAACTCTCATTTCAAAATGCTGAAGCATGCGGAGTGAGAGAGAGAGAGACCAATTTGTATTAATGCTCACTCATCCATGCATGATCTCCGCCTAAGTAGCAAAGATGAAATAACCAGCAATATGACAAGTTTAAGGTCATGAAATAATAATTCGATGTAACGCCCCCTTAGTTTCTTAACTTAGCTGCAACCAATTTAGTCAAACTGCTCCAACAACTAGGCAAGGCATATTGAATCTATCAAATCAATTTCTTCTCTTTTTAAAGCCTTTGGCTCTTTGTAATAGGCCAATTCCGACTAAAAAAAAGGATTTTGCAAAATTTGGATATTTTATTGAAATTCGTCCTCAGAGAACTTAAGTTAGCTCTCTTGAACTGAGGGCATCTTTCACTCCATCCCGACGAGAAGAAAAATATAAAAACCAGACGGAGTGGTCAATCTCACACTCTCAATTAATCCGCCTCTTAGATCTGAGTACTGGCGTGGCAATCAGGAATAGTCATTTTGTACGAGAACTGCTTAAGTGGCTCTGCTATTCACTTTAACCTTGCCATTTTTGACCTCAATCACTCTAATATGAAACTCGTCCTTATTGTGGATCCTTGCTCACAATGCCTCGGTTAAAACAGTAGAATTTTAATGAATACATTTACTTAAGTTTAAGGTGAAGAGCATGGGTGTTCTTCCTTCATAATTTTGAATTGATTATTAACCGTATTTGTATTTATTCACCAATAGTACAGCATTTCAAGGCAAATAAATGGTTCAGTAGCTAAGCCCACCCACACTCCACCCCACCCCACCCCTACCATCCCCCCCCCCAAAAAAAAATGGGTGGATTTTGGCAGCAATTTTATAAGATTCAGTTACGGCAATGTAGGTGAATAACACCATTACTCAGTATTATGAAGGTGGGGTCAATTCCAACCCAAATGCTACATATCATGTGCTGGAGTAATTTCCATTAGTCTACTGATTGTCCTATAAGTAGGTGACACATGCAGCAATAAGTCCTGCCTTTTATAAGCAAGTTTCCATAGGCAATTAGCTAAGGCAAATGTAGATTTTAATGCATTAAGGTTCAATTTGTACTACAAAACCCCATTCTTTGGGATTCTTGATAGCGTTTGCTTCCTTAAAAACCGAGCTTGTATGCCAAATAAGCACAAAATGCTGTCTAATGAAACTTTCATTACGCTTCAACTTCGACTAATCGAATTGACCAAAGTCAAATTTTTTTCCTTGTTACAACTAAGTATAAAATTAAAGATGTTTTCCTGTGGCAACGAGAAAAGAATTGTGCACTTTACATTATTTGCTAAAAGTACGCATGCGAATAGATAATCCCCTACGTTCTCAAAAGAGCGATTTGGTTACACGCCTGCGGTGCATCGGTGAATTCTAGTTGAGCAGATCTGTCAAAAAACATTGGCTAAGTCAACTTCCTCGTTAGGGATTTTTATGATAAATTTAGGAAATTGGTTTAATTTTGGGAACTAGTAAGACGTAGTTGGCTATGTTGTCATTTTAATATCGTGATTTATATGCGAAAAATGGATATGAGCTTACTCCGTGTTCGTATTTGCACTTTCATTCTGCAATTTCCAAAACAATTCCGATTTTATGGGCCTTTCATCTATGACTTTTTCAATCAAAGCAACATTCGACTTTTGAATTGACGCTAAATTTAGAGAAACTTTTAAATAACCCTAATCTGGGTGATGCTTGATGAGGGGACTAAATTGAGCGCTTGTTGTTGTTCGATGTGTGGGTGTGGGTGTGGGTGTGTGTGTGGACGAGGGGAGACAAGGGGAGATGGAGCGAGCGAGCAGGCGAGCTGGAGGGGGGGGAGGTAGAGGGAGAGAGTTAGTGCTGAAATGACACCCTGGGGAGCGCTAATTTACCAGAAAGCCAAACGCGATTCCCTACCTGTCTGTCTCTGCTCTTCCGCCTGCGTTTGATTAGGGACTCCGCGCGATTGAAATTTATTAGCAGCTAGCCACTCATCGGAAAATACAAAGGGTTCGTTTATAAACAAATCCATTATCCACCTTTCTACTCAGACATACGAGCACATAACTGTGAGGTTTTAATTTGGTGGCTAGGGAGATTTACTGTAATTATCTGCTCTAATAATCAGCTGAGAGTGAAGACCACATGATGCCATTTGTGGTAACCTGAATTGCCCTGACCTGCTGACTGTTGCTTCATAATCGTCTGCCTCAGCTCAACTCTTCTGTCAGCTGCGCGTGAATTTTCCATGTTTGCGAATGTCTTGATGATTAGGCTCCTTTTTTCCGCTATTTTACACTTCCTCTTCCAATTACTCTACGCTCCGCCGAATCAATTCTCAACTACCACCAAAATTTCCTGTCGTGATTGAGAATGACATATTGGTGTTGATGTCAATTTGAATATCACTTGTTTGAAGCCCCTAATAAAAAGGGCATTTGAACTTACCTTAATTCGTGCTAATGTATGCTGGCCAATGATATCCCTTCTATTTTATTTCTCCCCTCTATTGATTAAATTCCAATTCCACCCCCCCCCCCAGTCTGAACGCCTCTGCTCTCCCGCTGAATTACTTGGAAAAGCGATATCAGGATATGCTTGGAATGGGAGCCATAATAAATCTACTGTGGCCGTTGATGGTACCAATATGCGATAAGATTATTGGGAATTATTAAATAATGCAGATGTGGGTAATTGGAAAATGTGAAGAATGCGTTGGCGGCTAGAAGGTCAAGCTTCACAAATCCACAATCAGAGTGCAAGCGTATTGAGGCATATCAATTGAAACAAACGACCCACTCTTGTCTGGATGAGTGCACCTCGTTGAAAATAGAAATAGAAAAAATTCCTACTTGTTTCTGCTCAAAATTGTCTTTACCATAAGTGAGCAGGGTTGTCGGCGCCGGCGAAATTTGTCAACGAGATTGGCTGCTTCAACAATGCTGCTCCTTCAATAATATATCCTCCAAAACTGCTGGAAGGAATTAGAAGAGTGAAAGAAGAATTATTATTACTTAGTAATAGAGGGATCCACTTCTTCGATTCAGAGCATGTTAAATGAAGAATCACTGAAGAAGAAGAAGAAATGATTTTGAATTTGAAACTTGATCAGTATCCAGACAAACCGAGTAACAATGTAACAGCGGTTGAAGTAGATTGGGATAAAGGAGGTTTCCACCCCATTTTCTCTGAGCCAAGGGAGAGTTATTCTCTTGCAAATTCAGAAATCCACTGCAAGAGCATTGCAATATTTAAATTATTATCAGCTTTTTTCAATCTTATTTCGCGCAGGATTAAGGGGGTGGGGACATGCTCTAGCATGAATACGAGTTAAATTTGAGCGCGCACTGTGGCATCATAAATGAAGGGGAACATTTTCCAGAAAAGCCAAACTGGATTTCATAGAAGAAAAGAAGAAAGAATGTTCCTAATTTTATCCCCAACNCCACCCCCCCCCCCCTCTCCCAACCCACCCCACCCCCACCCACGAACCTAGTCTCCTAAGTCATCTGCGTGAGACAGTACACACCTAGATCGCACGGCTCATTGCGTCCATTCAATTAACTTCTTCTTCCTCTTCTTCCCCTCCTGACTTTCCTCTACTACTTGCATTTGAGCAGGGGGGTGCGTAAGGAAAACAATCCATTGCTTTGCCAGCTTTAATCGCCAATAGCAACCCTATTATATCCTTCTCCTCCCGTTTCTCATCCTCCAACTTAACTCAAATCCTTTT